AGATGTGATTTCTTCCCTTAAACACAAGAAAAAAAAAAATATCCTGACCAACAGATATTTAAATTGCAACACAGAGAATTCAAGAAACATAAAAACTGAAACAAAAAAGCAATGTGGCTCCTGGGTGGTGCGGTAAACTGTTCTTGCAGGCTCCGATATTATGTTAGCTTTCTGTAGCTACAAGAAAACACTTAAAATAACTAATTTAGGGTTATGTTTTGGGGGCTCAGTTTTGAAGGTTTCAGTTCACATATCAGAGGCTGGTACCACTGATTTGGTCTACCACAAGAAAGCATAATTGTTGACTTCATGACCAAGAAGGAAGAAGGGGGCAGGGTATACACTAGGATCCCAAAATTGCCTTGAAGGCATCTAAATGATCTGGCCCCGCCCCACATACCCTGCTTTTTCATCAGTGTATCTATCACCTACCTACCTCCTAGCAACACCTCTACCCAACATTTCCCTCACTGCAGCCCAGAAGACTCTTAAGTATCGACAATTAGATTGGTTGGGAGTGCACTGGAACTATTGAAAGAATTTGTCTGTAATTAGACTGATGGGGAACACACTGGAACTACTTAATACACTTTATGAGCTGTCTTTAGTAAGGCGAGAAATGCTGAATTAAGAATGAACTCCCTAGGGGAAGGATGAAGCTCAATGTTAAAGTTTGTCTAACATGCCCAGAGCCCTAAGTTTCTTCTGGGGAGTGGGGAAGCATGAATATATGAATGAACATGAACTGGCTCCAAATCCAGTGGAGTGAGGACATTCCAAAATAGTTACTTAGAAATGTAACTCTGACAACTATGAAAGCAGAAGTTAATCAGACCTAAAGAGGAAATTGGAATGTGTAGTTAACAATATATACAGTGGCCTTTCAAAGGACACTCTTAATTGGGCTCTTCTGAATTATGTCTCTCATATAAAGCTGTCACTACCCTAGAGCCTATATGAGGCTAAAATACATTATTATTATTCTTTCCAATGTTCTTGGATGCACAAGACATCTCATGTAAACCCCAGTTAGGCCCAAGAACTGAGATACTTTTCAATTGCTTCCTACCTAGAATACATACTTAACACTATCAGTTCAGCTTGCTTTCCAAGACACATGGCACTTTAAATAAAAAAGATAATCACACGTGACAGAAGATAACCTGGTAAATATAGTGTTTGAAACATGCATGCTACAAAAGCCCAATATTTACAATGGTTAAAATAGCACTACCATGTACATCAAAAATAAAAGAGCAAGATTTTGGTGTATTACATTTACACAATCATTACTTATCTTCTCTATCATTCTACAATGTTTATTATATGCCAAATACAGAAGAGCAAGAAGAAAGTTGTCTTATATAAAATGGACAAATAATGCTGTCTTACATAGAAATGGAACAAATAAAGTGTCTCATATAAAATGGAGGAAAGTACCCTGAGCAAAACCATGAGACACTAACATGGTGTCTAGAAGATAGAGATGATCATTCATAGATGAAAGGACTGTTTTTTTGCTCTCCACTGAAAGGACATCCCAGCGTCTTATGTGTCCACCTGGTACTGCCCCATTGTGTTCTCCCAGGGCCCCCTTCCCACACGCAGTCACAGCTGCCTAGTCTTTTACAGCCTCTGAGCTGACTCTTAAAACTCTCCACCCTACCAGTCACCTTGCATCAGCAGACACACCATACATCAGCCACCTAGTCAAACCACTGACATATTCCTTTTGCTAAGGACCTTTTCTTTTATAGATTAATCTTACTTCCATATTTATATACTTCTAATCTAATCTTCTAATGGCAGCCAGAGCAGTCTTTTTAACAACAGAACTCTATGTCCTTTTGGGGGTTCAGTGTCTTTGACCATTCTCCACTGCTCTAGGAAAAAGCTTAAATTCCTAACATGACTCTCTAGAAGCAGTTGCTGGCGTTTTATATCCATTACCCGTTCACTCTTCATTCTCCCTTTTGTTGGTCTGGTGTCTTTAGCTAATTCTGCTCAACTGTTTCTGCTGCCTTACTTCTATAAACCTCAGAAAGCAGAATGAGAGAGCTTCTGCGCCTGTGGAGGGGTCTGAAAAGTAAACAGCACCACCTGGTGGCCACAGGACTGTTGGGACAATGAGGTTTTCTAAAAAAGGCATCAAGTTTCTTCTCATTACCTTCAATTTCAATTTTGTTACACAAAGCCTTACAAATGTGGATTTAAAATACTGGCCCACAATACCAGGCTTACAAGCCCAAATCTTAACTCCACTGTGCTGAGGAACTTCTATGGGAAGATAAGCAACATGGTCATGTGCGCGTATCACTCCAACCTATGTGTGTGCTTTTATGTTCTTCTATATGCCTTTAATCTTGTCTTATATCAGGTCACCATTCACTGTATTTAGGGCTCACTCTAAATTTAGGATAATCTCTTGTGGGGATCCTACTTCCAAATAAAGTATTATCCACAGGGACAGGAATGAGGTCTTGGAATTGTGTCTGAAGGTATACAACTCAACCCATTATACAAAGGCAATATATTTGAGCATGAGGCATAAAGGGAAAAGGATGGGAAAGACACTGTTTTATATTTTTATAAGTTTAGTTTCATAGAAAACCCTAAGTGCTCACCCTCCTTCTATCTGCTATGGAATGCTGTTTTGATTGAAACACATCATGAAAAATCCAGCCTCAAATAACTACAAGCCCTCTGAAAGATTTTCAGAAGCCTCCATGGGTCTTCAGAAGATACTCTAAGAATCACTGCTCTAAAGCAAATACTCTATGTATATGTACAGTATGGCATGAAATTATGAAAAGCGGGACTGGAGAGATGGCTCAGAGGTTAGCATTGACTGCTCTTCCAGAGGTTCTGAGTTCAATTCCCAGGAACCACATGGTGGCTCACAACCATCTGTATTGAGATCTGATGCCCTCTTCTGGCATATAGGCAAACACGCAAACAGAACACTCACACATTAAGACATAGATCACTTAAAAAAAAAAAAAAATGAAACTAGCAGGCCACATATATGTATTATATAATATACACACACCTTCTATTTTATTACATGTTCGGCTCTCTCTAAAGTGGCTGCCCCGGTTACATTTCCACTCACAGTGCATAACAATTTCTAGCATTGCTATACTTTTAATATTTCATCTGTTTGGTGATATTTAATTGTGATTAAAAGTGATATTGCACTGAGCATTGGTGGCCCATGCCTTTAGTTCCAGCACTCTGGAGGCAGAGGCAGGCAGATCTCTGTGAGTTTGAGGCCAGCCTGGTCTACAGAGCTAGTTAAAGGACAAGCTCCAAAGCAATACAGAGAAACCCTGTCTCAAAAAACCAAAAAACAACAAACAAACAAGAAAACCAAAGTGATATTGCACTGATTTTAACCATTACTTGTCTTTTGTGAGATTATACTTACACCATTTCCCCTTTCCTCCCTCACAAACCTCTCATACAGTACTGAGATTTTAACCTTACTCCTTCTTTCCTGTTTATTTGTATTATTGTATTGTTATCTTATGAAGAAAGAAGATGGTCTGTACGGGTGTGGTGTCCACTTCCTTTCCACACCCACCCCTGCAGTCAACCCCGAGGCATCAACCCTGGGCCTTGAACAAACTCTACTGGTGAGCTAGGTTACCAGCTCTGAGGTTCGTTTAAAGGAGAGCTATTACCTGTTCAAGAACACAGAACATACATTTTTCACTGCCAAATTTTCACTGTCAATTTTAACTTCGCTCACCAATGAAATAATATATTTGTTTCTGGCCTATTCCTCAGGAGTGTAGTCTCCCCAGTCTCGATGAAGTTAAGACTGTAACCTCTGGCCTCCATTCCTTTGTCAGGAGCTTTGGGCGCCCCAGGCCATAGCACATCTGTCTCTCCTTTAACATGTCCTACCACACCCTCACTCAAGACCAGGCCTCACTCCTAACCTACCTTGCCTGTTTTTTTCCTTCTCATAAAACTCCCGTATTAATCTTCGAGAGCCTGAAGCCCACCCCTGCCTTTTTCTAAAAAAACAAAAAAAAAGAAATAAAGAAAAATAAACACCTGACGAATGGAATGGGAGAATATATACAGCAAGAAACGCCATGTTGGTCATAGACAAATCAGTAACTTTGCTGTTGATGGATCCTTAAATCCCTAATCAGTATAATAGAAACAATGACCACTTATTGGTGGAAGGGGCCTGGGAAGGGGTACAGAACAGATGTTTGTTTTAATTAAACCGAAATTTAGCTCGTGCTTACTTACCACGTGCCGGCCACTCTTCTAGGTGCCTTTTCCGATAATGAATTCATGTAATGGTTTGACTCTTTACACTAAGGCAGAGAGTTTAAGCATCCAGGCTACCGTCAGAGGGCCGGGAGGTAAAGAGCAGGGATTAGAAATCCCAGTCCTGTATTCAGCTCCCAGAACATACGCTTTTTGCCTAAGCTGCCTCCTCCAAATACAATTGTAATTTATGAGACGGCCTCCTGCAAACTAGGTAGCACTCTAACACCGGCGATTAGTCCCCGCCGCTCCTCCCCGGCCCAAACGAGCTCCTCGAGCTCCGAGTCCCTCGGAGCGTCCCCAAACTCGGTACTCACGGTGACAAAACGCGGCGGAAGCCCTTCCCCAGCGAAGCCCGGCGAGCAGCAGGACGACGCGCCCTTTCTAGGCAACGGCCGGCCACGCCCCTTCCCGTGGCGTTCCTGCGCGGGCCCCGCCCCTCGCCCAAGGAGGCGGCCTACGCACCGCGGAGGCCTCGCGCGCTTCCACGTACTCACTCCAACGCCTCGCCCCGGGACGTCACATCCGGGTCGCTGGCGCCTGCTCCGGGCCCGCCCCTTCCGCTTAGGCTCTCGCTGTACTTCCGGTCAGCGAGGCCTCTTCCTCCGCTGTCCTGCCGGCTCGATCCCCTGCGGCTCGGATCCTCCCAGTGCGGCGCAGGTTCTTCAGCGTGTCTCCTCGGAAGCCCGCGCTCGCTCCTCGTCGCACGCGTCGCTGAGTCTTGCGGGCAGGTGGGGGCCGCAGCTCCGTTGACGCCGCCGCTTCGCAGGGATGCCGCGGCCGGGCTCGGCGCCGCGCTGGTCGGCCGCCGCGGGCCGTTGGGGATGCAGGTTGCTTCCGCTGCTGCTGCTGCTGCTGCTGCCGGGCCCGAGCGGCGCCTCCGAGATCACCTTCGAGCTGCCCGACAATGCCAAGCAGTGTTTCTACGAGGACATCACCCAAGGCACCAAGTGCACCCTGGAGTTCCAGGTACCACGGGCCCCAGCCACTGTGGGTGGCTAACCTGAGAGTCACATCGGTTGCGGAGGCACCCGATGTTTTGGGGCTTTTCTTTTAGGAGCTTAGAGAAAAAAAAGTATCCGTGAATTCCAGACAAGCTTCTTGTGACGGTGACATTCTCCGGTGTCATTCATTGAATTTAAGCCCTACTAAATAACTTAAAAAAAAAAAAAAGAAAGAAATTGTGGTTTATTTGTTTTTTTTTAATTTGGTTTATTTATTTTTTAAGCTGTTCCTGAACACAAATGCTCGGCTCCCTACTCCTGTAATCCACAACGCTAATTTAATAAGATTTGCTATAACTCCATGATCTTTTAGTGTCTTGGGGGTTTGGTTTGGGTTTGGGTTTTGTATGACACCGGGACTCTTGGTTACTGCAGTCTTGATCGGAAGCTCTCTGTTAGACGATTTTTAAAGACTGTCTGTCAAAGGTGTTGTAAAAAATTGTGATTAACCAAAAGGCCCCTTCTCAGTTTTGGGACAATGTAAAACAAGAACTGATTTCATCAGTGTGATTTCTTAAATAGTCTAAAACAGTCTACCATTGTTGTTAATAGGCTCATTTAACATTCCAGCAACTCTTGAATGCTAGGGCCCTCATGGTCACCTGTCAACCTCTGGCCTCTGCATGTGCACATACCCTCTCCCACACACACACACATACACATAATTGAATGTAACAGAAGTATTTCTTAAAAGAAGCGGTAATAGCTTAGACTCTGTTAGTACAGTGCAGAAGGAGGGGGAAAAAAAGGTAAAATCAACAGGCAGGTCTTGGTCATATGTGTTTATATTGGTGGTAGTAATTGGTGAGGGAGGGAGAGGAGACTAAGAATCAAAAAAAAAGCGAATTCTCAATATATATAATTACAAAGGAATTATAAGCTGCAAGTCAGAATTTTCCTTAAGTTCAGCATACATTTCTCAAATTTTTGTATCTGTGGATACTATAGTGCTGTAACAGGTTTAAAAATCTGTTAAGTGTATACAGTATGCCAAATGTTTCATATATGTTAATTCTGAAAAAAAACTAGTATGAAATAGAGAAGAGTGTCTATTCCTTTCAGTTGGTGAAACAGAATCCACAGATGGGTTTAGATCCTAGGTCACACTTAGAATAGAAATGGTAGCCTCAAGGTGAACTCTATAGTAACTGCCTTATAGGTCACGCAGGCAAGATGCTGGCAGGGGACACAGTGGAGCAGTGAGGTTTGGTCTGCAATGTGGCAGAGGGGGAAAAGGCATACTAGACAGGTAACTTGGAGAGTTTCAACAGGCCTAACATTGGCCTTCGGTCTTGTGCTAAAGTTTGAGCAAGTGGCACTGAAGTACTAAGAATAGTTCTGCTCAGTGGCTGTGGAGCATTTTAGGAGATGGTTTTGGATCAGTTTGTCCTGCTCCCCCACCCCCGCACCCCCGCCCTATAACTAACAAGATTTGTAGTTGGTCTCGTTGATTCCCCTGTAGCCCAGTTCCTGCCCCAGAGCTCTGCTGTTGAGTTTAGTTACCTATGCCTATGTCAGGCAAAACTCAGTTCTGCATTCCTAGTTGCAGGGTGTTCCTTACACACTTGAATGGCCCTGATCTGAGAGAGAGTACATCTGGCCCAGACTTCAAAGGGGAAGTGCAAAGAAGCCCATACCTGATCTCTCCAGAGCTCTGTCTGTGAGAGCTTTTGGCAGTGATGTTTAGTGTTACATTTTCTTGTAGTAAACTAGATTTATAGGCATTTGCATTTGTGCTTCATTGGCAAACAAATTCTGTTAAACCCCATTGTCATATGTTAGGCGGGGAGCTTGTGAGGTCTGTCTGACTGGTAGGAAGTGTAGAGAACAGTCACGAGCAGGAAGTTGCTGTGGCCCAGAGGTGATAGATAGGAGGGAGTGCAGGCTGGTAATGGCAGATCTGCACATTTGATAATTTATAGTGACTTTTCAAATTTAAATGAGTTTTTTTTTTAATTGAAGGATGAAAAGAGATAGGACACTCCCACCCCCACGAGAAGAAATTGCAGGTTGTGGGGTCTGACTGATATCTAATACACTAAGATTGCAGGGAAGATTAATGGTAAATATAATATAGTGCTGGGACAACACAGTCCCTGCTATCAAGTTGGGAGACCCCAGGTTAGAAGAGATTGGAATTTGGGACCTGTAGTCATTTGGGACCATAGTATATCATGGATTAGTAATGGAAAATTTAGGATAATCAAGAAAGTGTTGTGATCATGTGAATAGGTTGTGAAAGCTGAGTTTGAGATGATACCCACTTCCAGTCATAGGTGACCAGACAAATTTAGAAGGGGTACTATTAACTAAAATAAGGTTGCTTGTTTTAAAATTTGATGGAACAAATGTGGCTTTTCCCCTCCCCCCAAGGTTTTTTTTTTTTTTTTTTTTTTTTAATTCAGAGTACTATGGTCAGGTATGAATATCTAAATATAGTTGAATGAAGGCATTTTTCTTTGGAAGAAAGGTTATTTACTTTGAGAGAAGGATAAATGCCCAGTTTATAAAATGCTTTTAAAGTTTGTAGCCTCAGACTGTTATCTGGCCCCGTGTCCTGGCACATATATAATCCCAGCTCCTTTGGAGCTGAGATGGTGGATTACAAGTTTGTTATTGGCCAGGCAGTGGCAATGATTGATTACCTTTAATCCCACCCAGCACTTGGGAAGCAGAAGCAGGCAGATTTCATGAGTTCAAGGCCAACCTGATCTACAGAACAAGGTTTAGGATAGCCAGGGCTATGGAAAAATCCTATCTCAAAAAACAAAAACAAAAAAAAAAAAATCCTTGAGCTGGCTGGAGAAAGAGTTCACCTGTTAAAGGCTCTCAACTGAAACAAGTTTGTAGTCATCCTGGTGAGTTTAGCAAGATCCTGTTCACAGACAAAAACAGGCTAGGATGTAGTTCAGCAATATAATACTACATGGCCCTAGTCTTAATCCAAAGTAATCATTCATTCATATTTGTATTTATGTATGTATGTATAACCTTATATGCATACACCTATAGCTCTTTAAGCACAAATTATATCTCATGTAATTGAAATGATGTTGTAGCATAATTCTATTAGTTATTATCTCAAGTGACAAAAGGTCATATAAGTAATAGAAATTTCTTCGAAGTCTAACTTTGACCCCTTTGTTTTACTGATGTATAATGTCAACAGTATGTTGGCCAAGAGAATTAAAGCCTGAAGATAACAATCCTGTTCCACACACTCTCCTGGGTAGGGATTACCAAAACCCTTGTCTCTCACCCATCACAGTTGTCTGAATGGTTAATGTCATTATGTTTCCTTTCTGCTGTTAGCAGGGAACCTCTTTACTTTCTATAAAGCTTTATAGAAAACTTTGTGTTTAATCTCCTGATGAAAATCAGTCTGTGTAATTGTGGTATACAGCCTTGCTGTCATTTTAGCAAGAAACATGGTTGACTTTTCAAATTCATTAGCTGCAGTGATCTCTAAATCTCTTACAGGTGATCACTGGTGGTCACTACGATGTAGATTGTCGATTGGAAGACCCTGATGGTAAAGTGTTGTACAAAGAGATGAAGAAACAGTATGACAGTTTCACCTTCACAGCCTCCAGAAATGGAACATATAAATTTTGCTTCAGCAATGAGTTTTCTACTTTCACACACAAAACAGTGTATTTTGATTTTCAAGTTGGAGAAGACCCACCTTTGTTTCCCAGTGAGAACCGAGTCAGTGCCCTTACCCAGGTAAATCAAAAAGAGTACAAGAGCATTGATTAAAAAGGGGCAGGATACATAATTTAATCATGTATTTATTCCTTGATGAAATTGAAATTTGAGATTGTCTAAAAATCTGAATTCTTGCAGATTAGACATTTGAAAGATAACTTGAGACTTCCATGATAAAACCCAGTGTTAAAAGATTTTATGAACCCTTTAAGTGTAAAGAAGCAATGTTTCCTTTACATTGCTGGGACAGATAGCAGAGACAATCAACTTAGCAGGGGACAGGGTTTAGTTTGGTTAATGTTCCAGCTAGCCTGTGGAGAAATAGAACACTCATGGCTAAGAATGCTTAGTAGAGGAAGGTTCCTCACCTCCACAGTAGCAAAGAGAGAAGAGGGACCTATGATCCTAGGTATATCCTTCAAGGTCGTGCCCCTAATGACATAACTCCCTTCCAGTAGGCCTTGACACCTAAAGATTCTCTCTTCTGCCATCTTGCCATAGGCTAGTGGCCAGCGCTTTAGCATTTAGCAATTGGCCTTTTGGAACACTGAGGATCCATACCACAGCACTAGGAAAATGAGTTGTAAAGAAAAGTAGAAAGGCTAAGCAGTACCAGTGTTCTAAAGCGTTTCTTTCATCTGTGAAAGAATGTTGCTACAGTATCATAAAATGGCTTTATGGATGGAGAGTGGCTTAGCAGTTAAGAGCACTTGCTGGTTTGTAGAGGACCCAGGTTTGGTTCCCAGCATCCAGATGGTAGCTCATAACCATCAGTAACTCTGGTTCCCTGGATCTGATGCCGCCTTCTGGCCTTGGGGCAAAATGCACCATGGTTGGCATACACACACGAAGAAAAAACTCATACACTTAAGAAGAAAAAAATCTTTAAAAAAAAAAAAAAAAGAATTGCTCTAAATCGTTAGAGAGATTGAAATAAGATCATTCATTAATAAATGCTAATATGGGACTCACTGTTTTATTCTTTTAATGTATATGAAATTTTTCATTTTGAGGGTTTAAAAATAAACCTACATTTTAAAAATTATAGGAATACATGTAATATAATTTTAGTTTTTTTTTTTAGCATAACAATTATTAACTCATGCTTCTTGATATAGTCCAAGGGGTTTTTACATGCTAATTGCTTACCTTGCCTATCAGAAGGTCTTGTTTTGTAATCAAGCTAGCCTGCAACTCACCACGTAGTCCAGGTTGATCTACTTGAACCTGGATCTTCTTGCCAAAACTTTCCCGGGACTCATTACAGACATGCGTACCTGGCAGTAAAACTTAATTAAATAGGTTATTTCCTAATGTCTTTATACGTTAGTTAAAATTAAGACAGTCAGATATGTCTTTTAAATTTTTCCTACATGGTTTGTAAGATAAAATAGTAATGAATCATGTATTTTTTATCCCCAGGGTTAGATTTTCAACAGTAGAATATTAAACCCTGCTATATATAAAGAAAATGTATAACCATTTAAAATCAGATGAAAAAGTAAAGTGTCATCCTAGTGGAAGGTCACAAGCCAATTAACAATGATACTGAAACTCAGTGTACATATTGCTTTAGTTACTGGACTGACAGAGACTTCTTTATCAAAGAGATATCTGTTTGGAAAAAGGTCATTCAGGAGCTAGAGTGATGGTTCAGCATTAAGAGCACTTGTTGCTTTTTAGAAAGACCCAGGTTTGGCTCCCAGTACCCATGTGGTGGCTAAGATCATCCAGTACTCTCTTCTGGACTCCTTTGGCACCAGGCATATACATGGTATACATGTCCAAATGCATGGAAAACATTCATACACATAAAAAAAATCTGAAGGATAAAGGACGTTATTTCGCCACTTTAAGATTCAAAAGTTAGCTAAAGTCATGGATAATACTTTCACCTATTTAAAAGTTTCAGGTAACTTTGATTAGTTGGATTTGGGTCCTTTGCCATATTTGGTTTGTTTTTAGAGTATGTTGGCTGTGGCCTGTGCTCCTATTATTGAACTTACTAACCCACTGTTGTATTCTTTTAGTTCTTAAGAATCTTCTTTTGAAATGTAGTAACCACTGACCTTAACTAAAAAAGAAAAATGTTCACTTTTATTAGTTTGTGTCCCATCTACCACCTTAGAAGTGCCATAACTGGCATGCTGGTTTGGGGAAAACAGACCTGTATCAGTAGTTGTCTCGGGAATGAGTAGGAGAACTTCGTTGCCAGGGCAACTGATATGAATGAAAGAATGATTGTTAGTTCACTACAGCAGTGATAAACCAGTGACAAATTGAGATTTAAAATAGCAGAATAATGTGATAGGTACAGAACTATGAAAGACGTTAAACTAACTGAAAATATTTCTGTTTAGATGGAATCTGCTTGTGTTTCCATTCATGAGGCACTTAAGTCTGTCATCGACTATCAGACTCATTTCCGACTGAGGGAGGCTCAAGGCCGAAGCCGAGCGGAGGATCTCAATACAAGAGTGGCCTATTGGTCAGTGGGAGAAGCCCTCATTCTTCTGGTGGTTAGCATAGGGCAGGTGTTTCTTCTTAAAAGTTTTTTCTCAGATAAAAGAACCACCACAACTCGTGTTGGATCATAACTGCACTTCAGATGCACCGTAGCCACTGTAATATTACTGTCCTCTAATTCTAGGTACTGAAGAACTTAACATTGGCAAACATTCTAAAACCCCACTCATTCTTGCTGGGAGCGATGTACAAGGCATATCCCCATCGAGAGAGGACACTTTTTTTATTTGTAAAGGTGGAAAAACTTTGGACCTTAATGCAGCTATTCATATGAAATATCTAACACCAATGATCTACTTTTTCTTGGTTTATATCTACTCTTCATACACTAAACTTTGATATTCTGATTCCTTTTAACCATTTAAAAGTACTTTTCTTAATAGGTAGTTGATACTTTTAGAAAAAAATCTTAGATTTAATGTCTGTGTATTACAGAGGAAGAAAACTGCCTTTTAATTGTTTATAATGAATAAAGTTGTGTTTTTAAGAAAACCAAATGTGATTAACTGTAGCCAAGCCCTATTCTGCACTGCTTAATTTTGTGGGGGAAAATAATCTACCATAAAACTGTTAGTTAATATTGATCTAATTTTCATAGATATATCATGATATTATTTATTTCTTGCTAGTCTGAAAAATGTACAGGTTATTTGGTTTTTTTTTCTCATTCTATGATTTAGAACTAGCTATGTTATTTGTTTAGAAGTGTTACCAACACTCAGAAAAATAGCATAATGGACCTTAAAAAGTCACTGTTGTAACTGTTAGGATAAAGAATGAGACACTACAGTGTGGGTAAACGAAATAGAAACTTGTTTAGTGAGTTGTCTGTGTCATTGCATTCCCAGGGCTTTTACAAGGAAAGAGGGCGGAGAGTCACTTGAACATTCTGGTGAACTAGTTCTAGTCACATCATTCACAGCTGCAGTTGACAGCTGGGATCCAGTATCTCATAAGTGTCATACATACATGTTGTCCTCGCAGTGTGATGCACTGAGAAGTTAAGTTTCTATCTCTTCATTTTTGTCATTTCTACAGTCTCTGGTTAGCAGCCCTAAAGTTAAAAGTATAGAGTGCTGTGAATATTTCCCATTTAAATTCTTTACAAATGGTTTGTACTGTTTGTCTCTTACACCTTGTGTGGATTAAGCTGATTGAAATGAAATTTTGATCCAAGTATTCAAGAGTAGACTACATAATGATGGAAAATCGTATAGATAAGCAGGCTTCTCTGCTGTTTCCAAAAGAAAAACCATGTCAGTTGCTTTTCAGCCATGCCTCTGACCTCAAGTGATGAGACACTCATGCAGGGGAGGCTTCAACATAAACACCATAGGATAGTGACTGAGTAGCAATTCTAGTCACTTAGTCATTGCTGACTAGAAATGGACTCTTAATTCTAACCCATCAATAAAATGCATGCTCAGGCACACACACACACACACACACACACACACACACACACACACCCTTTCCACACACACACACACCCTTTCCTGCATGCAAGGGCAAAGTGAAATCACATTGTCTTACGTACTAATTTCAGATGTTGCAGTGTAGAAAGAGTAAACAGGTTTTCAACCTTTTAGGATTCTTGAAGACCAGTTCACTACTCCTTAAGTAACATTTACAAAAAGATTAAGATTTAAGATTTTTGCAGATTTATCCATCTGAGTTCTTGTATTGAAGTTGTCCTGTGGCTCTTTAAAATGTCCCATCTACTTTGCTGTGAGTGTCTTAAGCACCAATGTTAATGTGATTGCTAAGCATGGGCACATGTAAAACTCCATATCTGGTTGCCAGTGGGCGATTTGGATACTTACACTGTAATTAAATGGAGTCAGGCATAGATTTTGTTAGATTTGGCATAAATAATGCCCTCATTTAATCTGTGCCTCTTGAAAGTCATGATAGTAAGCTATGACTATAATAAATCTTTTTTAATGAAACTATGTGTCAAACTTGAAATCAGCAGTTACCCATTGTCAGAAATAGTATGGATTTAGTTTCATCTCTCAATAGCTGGCTAAATTTTGACAGCTATCTATTCAACTGGTATGAAATATAAGAAAATACTTACTTGGGCTGGTGAAGTAGGTAAAGACCTCTTCCAGAGGTCCTGAGTTCTACTCCCAGCAACCACATGTTGGCTTATAACCATCTATAATGAGATCTGGTACCCTCTTCTGGCTTGCAGGAACACATGCAGACAGAACACTGTGTACATAATAAATCTTTTAAAAAAATATATAAACAAATGCTGTGTGAATTTTTTTCCTCCTGTGACATGATTTATAGCTTATCTTTCTGTAATTTTTATATAAGTTGTTGCAGGAGTTTGAATTTTCCAAATATTTTTATTTCGTCATATGACTATGTATTTGAACATCATAGTTGTATTTAACGTAAATAATGGAAAGCAACTTGATATTTTAGTTAATACCGAAATTTCAGCTGTTTGAAGATATATTTTAAGGTATTGCTTTGCTAATAATCTAAATATTCTTTCGTTCTATTGAAAACTGTAGTTTGTGGCTTACAACTTTTCCTCTGGGCTCAGTAATCACCTTTGAAAATACAGTGGACTGAAAAGCAGTTTACTGAAAGGTTTCATTTATGTCTCTGTACTATCCATCTCTTGTTTCAATTTCTAAGTGTAACATTCATAGTTAAATAAGGTAAAGTTGACTATGAGTTTTGTTTTAAAAAATTAGACAAATTAATATATAAATAATTCAAAGGATTTTTGTTTACTTTTGAAAAAGAATTTTCTCTAAATTAAAGATGGTTCCACAGGATTGCACCAATCAGTTTCATGTAAAATAAAGAAAAATTAAAAAAATCAGCAAATTGACTTCACTTGTTTCTAAAACTCCTTAGAAATACTCACCCTCAGCTCATAGACCTGTTTTAGGCTGGGCTGCGTTAGTAATGTGTTAAATGGTTTCAAGGGGGGAAAAAAACAAAAGTTTAGAGATTAGCCAGTGTATAGAAACTAGCCAGGCGTTGTGACACACACCTTGATCCCAGCACTAGGGAGACAGAAGCAGGCAGATCTCATGAGTGTGAGGCCAGCCTGTGCTACACAGAGAAACCCTGTCTCAAAACACCAAACAAACAAAAAAAAAAATACACAGTACTGTTCTGCTACAATAGTGTTTGTTTCTTATTTCATAGAGGAGGACATATGAGGAGAGACTAACCAAAACATTATATAAAAATGTTGAGCTACTGCTTCATTTTTCATCTTCAGTCCTTCGTGAAAATGTTCATGGAAGACAGTGATACCATCAGTTGCTCTGAGAAGGTTCCTAATTTTTAAGTCAGTTAACTTAGATTGTTTAAAACTTAGTAGCCTTAACAAGAGACAGTCTGCAGGAGGGAACTTACATTGCTACAGACTGGCATATATTGAGTACTCACTCTGGGTGGTGATGAACTGAAACTATTGTGCCCTCTGCAATTGCTATATGAACAATTTCTATTTTGACACAAGGCATTATATATGTGTGTGTGTGTGTGTGTGTGTGTGTATCTTCATGTATATAACTACTACATATTTTATCCACCCCAGTTCTGGTCTCTTGGCCAGTCTGCTGTTCTAAAGTTTTTATTGTAGCATTAGTAGAATCTAACTGTCACACAGGTATATAACAGATATGAAAACATGTGAAGGTCTGTCATCAATATAAATTACCTGCCAAAAGTTTGAAAAATTAAGATAGTCTTACCTCAGGGAACAAAACTATTAAAAACTCAAGGTACTACAGGAAGAAGAATGTACATAGGTCAAAGTTTACCCCCTGAGAAGTTGGACCTTGTTTTCCCACAGTGGATGCCCATAGTCTGTGACCATGCCAGTAACAGATTTCATTTCTTGTTCAGGAATATATGGCGTGGCCCAGCTCTTGTTGATATAAAACTAAAAAACTATATTTTTTAGCATTGTTGAAAATAAAGGCAATATTTCATCTCTTACATGACTTTATCTTGGAGTTTACAAATTTGGGAAGAAAATACAGATAAGTATTTTCCCTGAATAAGTATGTAAGTAAGATGGTTTAATATGCATTTCTCTGATAATGCTAAACTCCTTGACTTTGGCTGTTAGCCATTTTATTTGTTTGATGGTAGGGAAGAGGGGAGGAATGAAGACTACCTAATTTTTAATTATCAGGGGGTGCCATTTTCAGGTGAATGCTTTATAGGCCAAGTCTGTGGGCTTTTTCATTTTTGTTGAGTGTGTCCTTTGCTGTGAAGAAAACATTTTAGTCTGATTTACTTCTACTTGTTTATTTTTGCTTTGACTGCCTGTATTTGTGTACACTAAATGCCTGTTAGGAAAGAAGAAAGGGTTTAGCAACCTCAGCTTCCAACTAACTAAGCCAGGGGAGGAAAAGGCAGAAAAAAACGAACTAGAAAACAAAAACTGTAAAAATCCATCAATAAAAAATGATCTAGTGAAAAGATCATGGTTGTCAAATTTCTAGGCAGGGAAGTGGACCTAAGATAAAGGGAAGTCACATGAGGCCTCCTATACTTCTACTGCTAATACTGCAGCTACTAAAGAGTTAGGAAGAATGTAAACATCTTAAGACAGTAAGCTCAACACTATAAAGGAAATAGAATTTAATTTCTAATTGTAGGGACTTTTTTTTTCAAATACCTCATTAATCCTAATTTCATTCCACAGGATTAATTGAATTAATTTCTTGAGAATCTTGTGGGGCTGGAGACATGACTCAGCGGTTGAAGGCTAGGCTCACAACCAAAATATAAGAGAACCGTGTTATGCCCAGAAAAGAGTTCATTTTGGTAAATTGCTTATACATGGTTCTTGTTGAGTGGAATGCTTTCTAAATGTCTATCAACTCAAGTTGGCTGGTAGTCAAGTCCACCATTCCTGCTGAATTTTTACTTGCTTTTTTTTTTTTTTTTTATTGATGATTGAAAGAAAAAGAC